CATTTTTACAACTAAGGCCTATCCCAAATCATCACCAACACATACAAATAAAGTATAAAAAAAATATCTGTCCAGAAATAATGATCACAAGGGATAGAATTAACTTAAGCAATTTTAATGATGATCAACTCAATTATCAAGATTTACTCATGAGAATAAATTTGACCATGTGGCATAATAAAATAAGATCATTACAAATTATACTATATTACTATATACTATATTAAATTATACTATACAAATTATATTATATCAACATGTGACAAACAGATTTGAAGAATCTTTAAGAAAAGGGAATCACTGCTGGAGTTAATAAAATCTAAAGTCACTTATCTTGCACATGTGCTTAAAAATGTTGAGGAGCTGATGATCTATTTGTAAGTGGCAGGATATTATTCGCTGGATTTATCTTAATTGTTCAGTCCTGTTGCAGCCATTCTTTCAGGGTAGATGTATCTTTATTCTTCAGAATTTTCTACCAAAAATCCTTTTCTCCACTTCTTCTAGCAGCTAGTCCAGTCCTCTCCCCTCTCTTCCTCACCTCTCTCCTGCCCCTCTTCACAGGTTTTCAACCCTTACACAAAAATTGGCAGACCAAAACTGCTTAATTTATTTACAGAGAGGCTATCTAAAACAGTCAGACAGTTTGGGCAGAAATAGGCTCACTGATAGTCATAAAAAGGAAAGAGAGTTGTAGCAACACTACAATAACTTAAAGTTTCTGAATTAGTACCTAACATAGGTTGTATAATACATACTTTTCCTTACATGCTTTTTTCACTGAGATGTATACTCATGTAATCGAGAAAATAAAATAATTATAAAAGAAACTCAAACATATTGAGTATCCCTTGATATATTGGATGGAATTTCACGCATTAAAAAACAATCGTAGTGGTTTAATAAGGTCACCTTAAATATGCAGACTAATAGCGAAAGTAGTCGGTATTTAAAGCTACGAAATTAGATACATTTTTTGATCTGAGTCGGATCTCATTTAGTCGCCATTTACTTAGGCCCTCACGAGACTGGAAGTCTGATGTTTGCTGCATTGGAAACAAGAATATAACGATTTCTAATTGGGAGGAAATCATGAAATGAATTTTCCAAAGAGAATGCAAAGCGTTTAATCTTTCAACCCTAGTAGATCTAACTTATTTCCGTAAACACAGTAACCGCAAGTACGCGAGTTTGGTGTTGGGTGGAATTTCCGCGATTGCTGGACAGTACTCCATATTCATAATAGATGCCATCAATGTAACTTTCATGCCCATTATAAAAAAATTCTAGAATTTATCATCCTCACTTTCCTAGAGAATCATGCCGTTATTAGGCTTTTCAGTCCGGAACTCGCGCTAGCATTTCAATTTTCGTCGGTACATTTTTTTTTCTATAACCGTCGTTGAACAGCCAACGCAATTTTATGAGTTTACGACTACTAATGATCAACTCCGTAGCCTTGTAATTTTGAACCCAATTCAGAAGAAGAGGGAACTCCTGGATCGAGTATGGGGTGAAATTTTGCCTTCGTGGAGGACTTTTTGATAGAGCTAACCCGCATTTGCGTTACATGGAGAGGAAGACCACGAGAATCTCCCACGGTTAGCCTGACTGCAAGGGGACTCTAATCCATGGTCCGTCTACCACTGAGGACATTTCACGTCAGCACTGTGGTCGGTGCAAGCCGGATGCGGAATTCGTATCGACTGGGATTCGAACCCGGTTCGCCTTATTGGAAGGCGAACGCTGTATCCCCTCAGCCATCGCGACTCGCCGCTACATCTTGGCGTTGTCCTTGTTATAAATATCAATGAAATGCAAGTTGAGCTATGATTTCTCAAGGATAGAGCATTCACCTCCAGATGAGGTGACCCGGGTTCGAATCCCAGCAAAAGCTGGTCGATACGAATTTCGCACCTAGCTCTCACCGACCACAGTGCTGGCGTAAAGTATCCTGAGTGATAGACGGATAATGAGTTAGAGTCCCCTTGCAATCAGGTTAACCGTAGGATATTTTCGTGGTTTTCCTCTTCATGTAACGCTTATGTGGGTTAGTTTAATCAAAAAGTCCTCCACGAAGGCAAATTTCTCGAAAATCTCGATTCAGGATTTCCCTTATCTTCTGAACAGGGTTCAAAATTACAAGGCTGCGGATTTGAGCACTGGTAGCCATAAACTCAAAAAAATTGGGTCGGATGTTGAAAGAAAATTATAAAGTAAAAAAATAAAATAAACTGCAAGTTTGTTGCTTTTGAATTTATTATTCTAGAATTAACTAAATTTTATAGATGATCTACAAGCTAGAAGTAACTAAATTATACATCTAAATTACTTTAGCCCTGTACATTTCAATTAAGTGTGTTAAAATATATAAGTAAAATACAAATATTTATATCTTACTATAAGCATTTGTATAAATCTA